GGCCGCCAGCAGCGAAAAATTTCACCAAGCAAATTTACGGGGGCTGGCGGCTGCGCGCACACACACACACACACACACAGACAGAGACACAGACAGAGACAGACACACGAACGCACACTCGTACACCAACACCAACGCACACGTGCGCTCACTTAGTAAGGGCAACTCCCACCCTCCTTTTGCGCCCTGGTGGTGAGTTTGTTTTACAACAACAAGCCCAATGCACCCTTCCACACACTCTCTTGCTGTTGTTGTTGTTGCTTCTGCTTTTTCTCTTGATTTTCCTTTACTTTTTTGGCCCGTTGGCTCGTGGTTTGCGCAGTGTCCGTCGCTTCCGTCGCGCTCCCTTCGCCTGACTTTTCCACCACCTTCGGTGGGGGCTTTCCTATTGAATGAAATAAACTTTCGAGCTGTTGTTATTGTTATCGTTGCTGTTGTTGTTGTTGTTGCTGTTGCTGCTGCTACTGCTGCTGTTGATGTTGCTGTTGTTCTAGTTGCCGTTGTTGCTGTCAGCGCATGCGTTTTTCAGCGACCCGACAAAAGAGAATACAAAACTTCTACGCGACGAGAGCAAAATAAATTTTGTTTTGCGTACGACTTTTTGTTCGATATATCTCAACGTTACAGAAACTTTTGGCGCATGCTGAGTTTCAAATTTGTCAACGCTGCCAGGGCTGCCATCTGCCGGCCAAAGCCCAGCGACTGGCGTTGCCATATCCGCCCGTTAAATAGACAAATTCAAATTCGAAACTCAAATCGAAAAGTCTCATATTCAAATTCAATTATTGTGTGTGCATAGAGATATCTTGAATCTGTCATCAATTTCAATTAATCTGCTCCGAAGTCGACAGAGAGGCCTTCGACTATTCAAATGCTATTTGGACAATCCCGAAGGTCGCATTCCATGCAATGATAAGTGCATTGTCATCGCCCCAACTTTTCAAGCCTCACCACGATTTTGGTCCACCACGCATAATAATCAATTTCCATTTAGTTAAAACAAAGGCAAACAGCATAATCATGATTTCCTCAGGGCGCATTTCGAATACTCTAAAAAAGTAGGTTGGTTTGTGAATGTATGAAAATTATAAAATACTAAAATTCAAATTTCGTTTTGAATATTTCATTGTTTAATTATTAAGTATAATTCATATATATTTGTTTTTTTTTATAGAATATTTTTTATTGATGAATAACTGCAATTTCGGGAAATTGAATTTAATTTAAAATAAACAATAATTTAGAGCATTAAAATCTGGGATCTTAAAATATTATAGGAAATTATTTATAAATTATTTAATAACCAAGTTTTACTAGAAAATCCATTAATTTAATCAAATATATAGAATTTATTTCAAATATATTTTGAGTTTAAATACAGATATTAAAAAAATAACAATAATTGAATATTTTTGTATTACACACCAATTTTCATGTAACTTATGATTAATAAAATTTTATGATTTTACATTTTAAAAACACATTAATTCACTTAAATAATCATCGGTAAATTGATAATTAGCTCTTTGAACTCGCAGCTAAGCGACTTTAAATTAGTTAAGCAAATAACAAAAACTAAACTCATTATTCATGCACCTTGTGTGACTTCGTCTGCCATAATGACACGAGCCCTCTGCTCTGAGTACATATGAGTATGTGTATGTGTGAGTGCCTATGTGTGTGTGTGCTGCAGTTCCAAGTGCAAGAGCTCCACTTGGAGACGTGACGCGGCAAAAGTTGGTCTCAGTCTCAGTCACAAGTTAGCAAAAGCTGTTAACCAACAACAGGCAAGACACCAGAGGGGGCGAGAGGAGAAGGGAAAATGCCGGGTGACTAGGTGGAAATTCGATTGAACCATGATTAAGTCTCTGCCGTTGGGCGTTGAATTGAAATGCATTTTCGAAACGGCCACTCAAATCTATTTACAATATAAATGTGAATTATATGGCTAATAGGTGATTTGTTATGGCCCACTTAAACATTTATCTGTCAGAGAAGATAAAGAGAGAGAGAGAGTGGAAGAGAAGGGCAGGAAGTAGGCGAGACTGATAGAGAAATTAACTGACTTTAAATTGGCTTCGTATCAGCTTAATATATCTGTGGAAAGCTGGTCACACTTGCACCTTCCTTTGCGATTCTCAAGTTCTGAGGAAGGCCCGATTGGAAAGACCTACCAATTAGAAATCAGATAAAAGCAGGATGTGGATGAGTGCGAATGGGATCTCATACAAATGAGAAAGCAACGAAGATAGTTTCAGGTTTGAGTGTCTCTCTACGATTCTCAATGAGTTCAGGAATGTAAGTCACAGCCGAGCCGGAAGTGGAAGAAAATAGAAATACTTTGTGTACTTATAAATACTTGTATACGATTCTAAATGTGTAAACTACAATAAAATTCCACTTAAGTTGCAATCATAACAAATTATGCTAATTAGAAACGAGCTGTAACAATAATTGCCATATATGTATGGTAAAAATCAGACACGTGTAGAGCAACAGCGTTAACAACAAAGCTGAAAACGAACTCTACGAAACAGTCATCAGTTCCAACATTCGGATTAGAGGGGGCTAATCAAATATAAGTGAAGGCAATAGAAATTATTATTTAATTTCGAGCAGCAATGGAAAGTTTTTATCTCTGAACAGATCAGAGGTCTTTATGGGATTGAATCTTAGATGACAAACAATTGCGGGAACTCAATGTTATGTTCAACCGGTTTGGGATGTATCTATGCATCATCTTTAGACTCATATATGTATAATATATGTGTCGCTTTTAAGATCTATCTCATGTTGTCTTATATCACATGTTACAGACAATACGAGTTTACTCAACTTGTGTCGGCGACAAACACTTTCAGTTTACACTCACACACATGGGGCCTACACCCACCTACACACTGGGCAGCCACCCACTTTCTATCTTTTGCGTGACACTAAAAATTACTGTAAAATTTTATTTGAGGCATCTCTTTTGTCGCGTAGCCCACAAAGATCATAATACACCCAACCAAACTCGAAACTCGTAGCCATGTGGGTTTCTTCTTTTTTCCTCTTTTTTTTCAGGTCACTTGCAATTGGGCCCAGCTAAAAGACAAACAACCAACTTGGCTCTGCTCTAAAAATAGATTTGTCAGCACAATATGAGACATAATGGTGTTTCGAGACTATATCCAAGAAACAGCTATTGGGCATTGAATGTCCGGAAATGCAATGAAGGCCCCAAATAACAGTTTCAACACTTCAATGACAACCTTAAGAAATAAATGTTAACATACAATCAAAATTAGTCTAGTAACCAAATTTGAAATATATTTTAGAGTTGTTGTTTTTCTTAAACATTTTATGGCATTGATTACTAAATCATAATAGCGTTAATTAATGCTAAAAATTGCCTTTAGAGGTTGATACTATTAACACATTGTCTTCAGTGCAATCCCTGACTCACCTGTTTGCTCCCTTTCTCATATTCTCTAGAAAACAAATATATATACATACATACATATGCCCACATATATATCATTGACCTGAATTAAATGACCAAGAATTGCGCTTCAAAGTGAAAATGCAAGCGTTTGCAGAATGCGGTTGAAAAACAATATACTGTTATTTATAATAAATTTAACCTCGTAATCACTGCCATTTTCACAGCAGTTAACGGTTTCTGTTTTCGACCAACACCAAAATCATTTTTGCTGACTAGAACTGGGCCAATGGAGAATCGAGTGGCAAACCAAGAACTTCTAGAAAACCTAGTCTATGAAAAAGAGTTAGTAAACAACAAATATAATTGAATTATATTTCATCTGCTTGATTTACTCTTGTTCAATTTTATTGCACAATTTGGTGAATATTCATTGGGCTATTTGCATTTAAATGGCCTAGTACAATACCAACTGATTTGCTAAATGATTTGTTTTATACTCTTTGTTATTGTTTTCGCCTTTAACTAGCTTCAGTGTTGAACTCAAACATAACCTCAAATGGACACACTCAAAACATGCGTCGCGAACGAGACTCAAATGCACTCGTAATAGATACCGTAATGGAGATAAAGATAAACAAGAGATCGCTGCTGGCTTGCTCAGCGGGCCAACTAAATGACGAGCGCGACCTAGCGGTACTCGCTGTTGTTGTTGTCGTTGTTGTTGCTTTGAGCTCTTTAATATCTATTTCCACTCTTCGCTCTGTCATTACGCTTTAGCCTTGTCTCTCTGTCTCTCTCCCTCTCTCTCTCTCTCTCTGCGCTCACGCTCTCCCAATCAGTCGCGCTCGTTCGGATTGGCTTTTGTTGAGTTTATTATTTAGTGTTCCGATTTTCATTACGTGGTTTCGTTTGCCATGCGGACGTCTTCATGCTATACGTGTTGTTGTTGCGGTGTTGTTGTTGCTGTTGCTGCTGCTGCAGCGGCTGCCGCAGCTTTTTGTTGTTGCTCCAAGCTGTTTGCATGCTCGTTCAGCTGATAAAACGAGCATATTGGTTTCGTCTATCTCTTTGTTCGTTTGAATATAATTTTGTGTACCAGAATCTTAGCTGACATATGCATTCATTTCAAATAGGAACTCATTTAGAAAACTTTCAAACGTTGCTGAAGTGTATTACATATACACACATTTAAACATATAAAATCTTTTAAAGAAATAGCTGGAATACACTTTTCAGCAACGTCCTATTCGCCGTAAATATATATCTTAATATCTCTCTCTCTCTCTCTCTCTCTCTCTCTTTAATCTTTCTCAATCTCACTTCCTTATCTAAATATCAAAATCTACAAATCGTAATATTTCTTTCCCTCTCTATCTCTCTCTATCTGTCAATCTCTCACCCTTTTTCTATATCTCTATTTCTCACTATACATTTTTGAACGAGTATCTAGCAGTCGGTAGCATGCGATAGCATCASTCATAGTTTAATGTTTTTGTTTTTGTTTTCGCTTTTACTGAGTGGCCTGCCTGGCGGGTATTTAAAATTTCCTCATGCCGATGCCGCCACGCTCAGTCTCAGTCGCAGTCTCAGAGTCGATCGCAGTCTTAGTCTCAGTCTCAGTCCCCGTTTTGGGTCTCAGCTTTTCGGTTTCGGTTTCTGTTTCAGTCCGAGTTGAGCGTGCGTCGGCATTGGCAGCAACTACTTCACCGTTTCCTTCGATCAACAGAGTTTGCGTTGTTATTTGGATTTCGATTGAATCCAAGTTTTTTGGTTAGTTTACGCCACAATTTCATATATATATATATATAGAAAATACGAAGTTATCTAAACAGTATCAAGTGCATAGAAATCATCAAGTGAAACTCGCGTCGAATRTAAAAGCCTTGAAATCTTGTGCTGTGCCTACCAAATAAACCAAATCAAAAGAAACTATTGAAATCCAATTGAGAATCGATTGCCAAACAAAACAAAATCGATGCGAAACGGAAGCTCTCTGACGAAAGCGCACACAACTAAGTCTTATGCTTTATTCATATATAAATATTATATTGTTAATTATTTCTTTGAAATTTTTGACGCAAAACTTAACTGTTCTATTGATATATCGTTGACTTTTGTTGACTTTGCCTATGGCTCTATTGACATGCTGCCTTTTCACTCTGCCTCCCAAAGCCAATTTTAAATTGTTGTTTGTGCTTCGCTATAGCCGTGTGTGTGTGTGTGTATATATATATGTGCAGATGTGTCTGTGTGTGTGCGGCTGTGTGCGAAGTTGATTTGTTTTTCACGTTTTGCGCGCTCTTGCTGGAAAATTCATTGGCGTTGCGTTTGGTCTTTTATTTAATTTGAAGGTTTCGGTTTTTCGGTCTCTCGCTTTTCCGTCTTCGCCTGCTCAGCACAATTTCTGTCGTCATTTTATTTAATTTCGTGGTATGTTTGCGACAGCGTGGCCAATTTTGTTTTATATGATTTATTTCATCTCTGCCCAGGGGCTATATATATATTTAGATGGCTCAACAACCGGTTGGCTTAAATACACAACATAAAACTCCTTTGAAGTGTGTTTTATTTATTTATAATTTCTTTTGACTTGACATCAGCCGCATCTCGAAACAACAAAACTCAATTGTCTATTTAATGCTTGCGAAAAAAACAAAAAAGAAACAGAATAAAAAAAATATTAAACAAATAATTTAAAGTGCGAATTGCTCGAGTAGCAAGCCGCTATTTCACACCCATTTGCGGAAGGCATTGTGCTTTCAATTAGGCGCGGCAAGTTCGTTGTCTAAGTCTTTTGATTTAGCGACATTGGCATGGCATCAATTATGCCAGCACTCACACAGGCACACACACTCACTCACGCACACACACAGAGGCAGACGACAATTTGATTAAACCCGTCAAGCGTATGTTGTTTCAATGTTAAGGTCTGACAACAATATGCAAATGCCAGAAAACAARCGTCGACAACAACAACAAGAAAACGTAATACGCACTATAAAATAATAAATAAAGAAAAAAGAGAAGAAAAATAGCGATTGTTATTTGCAAAGACTCGCTCCCAAATTGGCTATCAAGTTCAGCAAAAGCATGCCATGCATAAATAAGCAAATTGTTACACATTTTGTTGCTATGCCGGAAGCAGAGACGCTCGCTCGAATATGAAAATATATCTACACACATATATACAAACTCAATCGATGGCAAAAGCCAAAAGCGAGATTCGAGAGAATGAGAGAATGAAAGAAAGGGAGAGAGAGAAAGAGAGAGAGAGAGAGGGAGCTCATCTCCTTGAATAGAAAGTGCCAATAAAGTATGCTTGTTGTTCGTATTTCTTCTCATAATTATATTCATCACAGATTTTTGTAAATCGCATCCTCTTCTTCTTCCTCTGCTTCTTCTAATTTCGCCAGCCCTTATAAACGTCACCAAATTGCCTTCGAGCTGGTCTTGTGCGATGCTCATTTTGTCTATTTGCTGTTGCTGTTGCTGTTGCTGTTGGTGTTGTTGTTGCATTTAGGTAAATAGGTCAAATAGCTGAGCATGTTTGTAACTGAAAGAAATTTCAAAAGATTTAATATGCATAAACGATTTTGCTCTCTTCACATTTGAACATTGTTAGCCATAAATACCCGCAGTTAACTATATTATATAGAAACACTCAGAGACTCGACGCTCTGTCATTTTGTTTTAAACAAAATTAGCAAGCGAAACGCAAACCTAGCAAAATTATGCAAATCTTGAAAATGGGCTTTTGTCTATGTATATATACATAGATATATTTATAGATGTGTATTGTATATATACTAGTATATAAGTGAATGAGTGTTAAGGCAGATTCACGCGCTCATTCGCGAGCTTATCCGCACAGACATGAAACAGACCTTAGTATATGCCCAGCCGCAATCACGATCCTTACGCTTCATTGTGCTTTGTGCTGTGACGAATGCATAAATGGAAATCGTCTGGTATAATAAGCACACGCCTTCGAGCTGCTCAATTGAATGCCTATAAAGCAATGCATACCCTATCAAATATGATCATAGACAAGCTTGATAGGAAACAATTATTTCTAGCATTTCAATGCGGAAGATTAAAGTGAGATATATACATATAATCTTTATGTTACTATCTAGTAGTAGCTCCCATACCATATTTGATATATCATGTCTTTATAGCATTTGAGGTATGCCTATTAAAATTGATCTATATTGGGTATATCAATAGCAAATAACAAATGGAATTCCAGTTGCGTCTTTCTGTTTTTTTCAGACAGCTCTGAGAGTTTTTTTAATTTTTGATGCCAACATTCAGAATTTGATGAAATAAGGAGTAAATTTATATTTATTATTTATTGAAATTTATTTCAAAATTTAAAAATAACTACAAAAAATAAAAAATTCTATGATGCATATAATAAAAAGAATTTGAGATGATTTTATACATTTTTAATACATAAATAATTTTATAAAACTTTATCAAATTTGAAAAGAATATACCAAAATAATCGTAATAAACTATCGATTTTTGTATTTATAATATATTATTAATATAGTCAGAAATAAAATTTGATTCGACATATTTATATCTTTATATTAGTATTTAAATCTATGGAATATTAAAAACTTCAATTTTGGCCAGACGAAATACAAAAAATTGTTATTTCATACCTTCAAAAAGTTCGTCATGATGAATGTGGCTTTCATATGTAGTCTCTACGTGCTTTAAGTGCTCAATAAAGCTTGATCAGACAGGGGTTTTTCAATTCATTAATAATTTATGGTAAATTCACGAAATTCTATAAAAAGTGTATGGGCAGACGCTTCAGAGTTGTACAGTTCATTGACTTTGAGGTTAGCCGATGGCACGCAATAAAAGCGCGCCTTAGGTCAGTTAATATTATGCTGATATTGCCCAAGACCTGGTCCACATAGAGTTTCATTGGAAACCAGTTTGAGGACTTTGAGCTGCCAACGGCATGATGCGGCATTCTGTGCGCGAGATCTTAGTTAGCAATTCAATGCATCGGAAGAGTAGTTTACATAATTCTGAGCTCAATGTCAATATTGGAAGTGCCTTGAAAAGCTGAAAAAATATATATTTATAAAGAGGGAAACAAAAACGAAATCGAAATCGAAATCGAAATAAAAGCGAGTCATTGGGCAATTAGTAAGGTACAAATATTAAATTAAATTTGACGGCTTTTCATATGTGAAAATTGAGCAGTAAGCGAAGGCTATTGCCTAGCTAATTAATTAAAAGCCAAATAAAAACTAAATACCACAATTATGACAGGTATTAAAAAGTCAGGCAGGTGCAATTAGCATCAAGTTGTCAAAAGGGTGAAAAATCTCAGGAAATATCCACTTTTATCTGGGGCAGCCACTTATTGATGCGCGAAAGCGAAAACAAGTTGCAGCTTGTCCCTGACCGTGTAGCTAAATTCATTCAAGATTTCAAAATTAAGCAACATGATAGAAAAATTTTCAAATTTGATAAAAATAATCAAAGCAACCACAACAATTTGACTAGCCGCAGACTTTAACAAATCTTTTATTGTATTTCGAGTTACCTTTCAACGCGGCCTTGACACAAATACACACACACACACACGCGCGTTGAACAAATCACTGAAAATGATCAAAATTAATCTTAAAGAAAAAGAAAAAAATACTGAAATAAAATAAAATAAGCGCTGCTACGCAGTTTTTGCCACAATACGCCTGGGACCTTAGGCAACCACAAAAAATATAAGAAAAGAAAAAATCGRAAAAAAAATGTAGCTAGATAAAATCATGTGTAGCTTACAGATATTCGCGTAATTAGCTAATAATTTGTTGAAGGGCCTCTGCCAACACGCGCGTCAGCAGATCAAGGCAGTCCAGTAAGGTAGATAGACGTGTAAATACCAAACGGGACATTTACCAACTCCTCCTTGACTCTATTAACGAAACGATTTGCTACACATTGCCCATTTTATTACTTATTATGCTTGTTTTGTCCTAATATAATTATTCGAGTTTTTAACAATCATCGCGATTATAAATACCTCAATCCTTATCTATGGATTATGTATTAACCATTAGCATCCATTGAATTAAAATTATCATTTTTAACTATACCAGTAATCATTTATTCATCATCATTATGATTGTCCTCTCCATATTAATTTTTCTCATATTTAACATTATAAGAACCCTTAATAGTCTCTTAATAATTAATAATAAGTAATAATAATATTACTCATATTTAACATTATAAGAATCCTCAAAAGTCTCTTCATTGATAATATTATTATAATCAG